ACCCGGTGACTTAAATTAGAGTAAAGTTACGCTTATGCCGTCTTGTTCTCTCTTCAGATGAAATATTTATACTTACTTTACGTGTTTATTTTGTATGATCCAGTGGAACAAAACAAAAGTATTCCTAACAAATGGTTATTTTTTTCAGCATTTATTTATCTATTACACGGTGATAGGGTTTTATATTCAATAAACAGGAACAAGTAGAACAAATGTAACAACCGAGTAACTGACTAATAAAACTCTGTTAATATTGTCAAAACGTGAATTGATCTAACCATTTGAGAAAATTTTAGAAGTTTGGAGGTAATTGTGAATATCTTGTAGAGAAAGACAAGTGAAAATGTCAATGAATACAGATAGTTGATAAGATAGAAATTCTGTTGAATATCCTTTTACTTATTTTGTGATTTAATCTCACCTGATTAACTAGTTCACTAGTTACTAGGTGGTCCTAAGCCCCAAAAAAGTCAGAAGGTTGGGCATAGAGCTACCACCCCTACCTCAGAAAACCAATTGAATCGCTAAAGAAACTTTGAAGTGCAAAGAAAATATAAAAAATAATAACAAAATTATTCCTTGCTGGAATTGGGGAGACGAAATGACGCCGGTTGGTGAAAGCCTTCAGGAACCAGTCGGCCGATATGTCTCGATGAAAGCAAAAGTAAGGATCAGGATATGGAATATCCACACCATGTATGGACTTAGCAAGGCTAGCCCGATTGGAAGAAGGGTTACCTTGTCAAACTCCCAAAAAAGGGAGACCAAAATCTTTGCAAGAACTGGTGAGGAATCATGCTACTGTCCACTCAAAGCAAGAAAAATATTAAGCCACATCATCTTGGAAAGACCAAAAGATGCGCTGGATTCAAATTATAACCGGAACAGACAGTCTGGCTGGCTCGATTCAGGAAGAACAAATCATGTGCGCATCAAATTGCAACATTACGCTACGCATCACCACAAAACACAGCGTACAATGGCATTCAAGTCTACTTAAACCTCATCGACTTTGAAAAGGCTTTCGACAGCGTCGGCCGAGAAGCAATTTGGCAGTTGCTTCAACACTATGGAATACCACAAACCTTTATCAACCTCATTCAACAACTATATAAAGACGCCACATGCCAAGTGATTGACATTGGGGAGCGCAGTGATGCCTTTGAAGTAAAGTGAAGACAGGCGTAAGACAAGGTTGCCGCCTACTATCACCCATGATCTTCCTGATTGTGGTCAACTGGATCATGCAACAAACAGCGAGGAGTGAGAAGATGCACATACGCTGTTTGACCGATTAAAGGACCTTAGAAGATTTGGATTTCGCCGATAATATATGTTTAATGTCGCACAAACTCCAAGATCTACATACAAAAACTAACAGGTTGACAGAAGAGACGAGGCAGTGAAAACGGGACTTCAAATGAATGTAGAGAAGACGGAGATGATGAAGATACCCAACGAACAACAGCATCAACAACAAGCACAAATCACTATGAACAGCAGAAACCTAAAGGAAATAGTCTCCTTCACCCACCTAGGCCGCATAGTTTCAAATACAGGAGGCGTCATAGGCACAGACAAAGATGTCAAAGCCAGGATAGGAGAGACAGCACGACAGCTCGCCCTTCATTAACCTGAAACCAGTATAGAAAACTACTGCACTCAGCACAAAGAACAAAATTCAAAATTTTCAACATCATTTCAGTTAACTCAGTGCTTCTGTATGGCTTAGAAACTTGTCGTGTCATGAAAGGCATTTCCAACAAACTACAGACATTCATGAACACCTGCAGCCTATGCTCACTCGATACTGGAAATCAGATTGGATGGTAAGAAGGAATAAGCAACAAGGAACTCTGACTTGCCGGGCAACAAACCAGTTAAAAATTTATCACCTGACAAATATACAAAAGAAAGTAGAGATTTGTTGGATTGAGGATACACTGAGAAGGCCGATTGGCTACAACACGTGCCAAGCCAAACTCTTGAATGGAACGTGCATCGGAAACGAGGAGTTGGGCGTCCAAGGCGAGGGTGACAAGGAGGAGGAGATTGTGTGAAGAATAAATGAAAGCTTGTAGGCAGTTGTGGTATCAGGTTCAAAAGACTGCAGATTGGAGAGTGGAATGGAGGCGTGATACTGAAGCTCTATGTTCCACTAGGAACCCAAGAAATAAATACTTTCCAAAGGAAAGAAAATAATGTAACAATACTTCGTGATTAACGTGGAATACTTTTAGTGAGCAACAAATCTCATATAATAATGGATGAACAAGATTATTTCGACAACTGAAACGTATAAGCATAGCAAACCAAATCATCATCATACAAGTCAACATAGAACTAGGGATTAGTGCATAACGGTCCAACTTACCACACATCATATCACCATTTCAAGTAAACAAGACAGTAGAATCGAAAATGAACAAGGAGAGAAATTTCACAAAGAAGAAATATAAAGTACACAAAGAGAGAAAGGAAGAATGAGAAAATGATGAGTTTCGATATAACCTCGTCATGATGAGGATCATATGTGTGGGGATACATCTGCACCACTGACATCCCCTCTCACACATTTCAGTACCTACACTCTCCAACCACACTTGATTTCTCTTCTCACACTCACCACAAACGGCAAGTCTGCATCACCGTATATCACTCAAATCAACAGTCGCTGACTTCATACACTCATGTCATGTCTCAATCTGACCACCACCTTCTGCCTTCATTCACTCTGAACATACTTCAGCCAACATTGTCTCACAACGCACACGGTCGACTACACACAACCAACACATGCACCAGTCAACCATCTCACTCGATGAGAGTCAACAACCTCGTCAAATATCTTACAACTTATCCCTCTCTTAAACTCCACACATCACTTCTGCATTACTCATCGCATGACACCACCAAACACAGTCTGTACTACAAAGATAACACTGGACAAACACCTCAAGTCTTCTCATATATTCCACCTCCAACGGACATCGTTCACAGACATTGACTACAACAGACTGGACTGCTGTGCAGTACACACAGCCACTAATAGGATAATCCGATATCAAGGTGGTGTCACAGGTGGCGTATACTCACAAAAGCAACCCCTGCCTTTTGTATTCATACACAGATTTCGTCAACCACTGAGCCAACACGCCTAATCCTACTTCTCAGCTAGGTGAAGTGATCGACACACTCAACCACTACACTCACTCTACACTGTTAGCCGACTCACCGTTGAACACTAATCGTCTAGCAACAATTCGCATTTCCCAAACATGGTGTCATAGTGTCCAGAACACTCCACATCTTATCAGTGTCTTCATTTGAGACGAGTGTGTCATCTGTGTATTCTACGTCTAACGAAAATTCTCCTGTGATTAGGTCAACCTGTATGTAGTTAGGTGACGAGAGGGAGACCTGCATAAGAAAATCTGTGATGAAATTGAATGCGAATGGAGAGATTCGACACTGTTGACGGACACCACTCGATGAGCTTATCTCTCTGGATATCTCACCGTAGGCTGTAGCAGGCCCATAATTGTTCGCGTAAAGAACCCTCAAGAATGTGATGTAGTTAGTTGGCACGCCTTTCAGTGAGAGCCAATGCCATAAGACTTCTCGTTCAACGGAGTGATATGCCGCCTTCAGATGGAGAAATGCAGCTTATATCGAGCTTCAGTAAGCGTACGTATGTTTCAGAGCCTGGCTTAGTGTAAACATTTGGTCAATATACCCACGGTCAGTTCTAAACCCTGCCTGGTTTCTCGAGCTTTATGTTCCCTAGCTCAAGTGAGGCATCGCATAATTATGAAACCTAGAATCACATGAAGGAGTAATTCAAATCATGCATCTAACCTAGCAACAATATACCTCTATAAAGTCTACATCATATTCAGTTAAATCAACATTCTATTATGTAATCAACTCAAATAGTGAACATACCTTAATTTGATCTTCTTCTACACGTGAACAATATTCATTGTCTATATTCAATAGGCTAGATTTATTAATTTCTATTGGATAATCTAATTGATTATCTTTCGTACTTTTAGTGGATTCATCAGTTGCTAAAACATCATTTGATGGATATGTATGCCATACTAATTGTTTTAAATGAAAATAGAATGATGAACGTAGAAATCGATGATATGAATCTTTATTCATTAAAGCTTTAATTGTTTGTTGAGCTAAGATAAATGATTGATTAGTTGGATTCACCAATCCTGATATTGTTTGATTTCTTGTCTCTGAATCTAAATTCACCTTTAAGATAAATACAAAGATTATATATATATGTATATATATGGAATAGATCAATTCTGCTGAGAGACTTTATTTAAGTAAGTCAACAGCTGTTTCGTCCGACTAGTATGGGACACCTCAGCAGCGCGCACCTACGACCCATCCAGTGGTCCATATTTCCAACTTCTGACATTTCATGACATCGCGCAGCCGCCACCCAATATCATTGTTGAATTATCATCCTCATGACCATCAAGCTAGCCCCACCTGTCACAACTTCTTCCCGAAGTTCCAATGAGAAGTCATGACGGATGGGGTTAGCCTGATTGTCGTCAGGACACCTATTCAACGATGACATTGGGTCGCGGTTATGCTAATTCGTGAATTGACAAAAGTTGGAAATATGGACCATTGGATTCCGCTAACTCATTGGTGGGGTCATGGGTGAGCACTGCTGAGAAGTCCCATACTAGTCGGATGAAACAGTTGTCCAATGCTCCCAGGTTTCCTTTGTTCTTCCAACGCATATCAGTCTAAGATGAAATACTAACTTGAAATATTTTCAAAATCCACATAACCTCCTCGAAAATTTAAGTGAAATTGATAATATAGATTATCATTCACATTAATGTGTAATCATATTCGACGTTTGATTCTTGTAGTTATGTCACCTCATTTAGCTTATTTTTATTGTTAGTAAAATTTTTCATGTCTCTAGTATACGAAGGTGTTGCTTCATTTCTATGATATATGTAGCGTGTTGATTCGATGAACAAAGATTCAGTAATCAATCTCCCTCAGTCTCCTACTAAATACAGCGGTTCTATCATACCCATCCTTTTGTGTGTGTGTATGTGTTTGATAATCTGACTCCGATCGGTTAGTTTAACCTATGTAGTTGACCTGATTCACATTCATTCTACGGGATTTGACAGATTAGGTTATTTTGCTTAATTGGTTCGATCGAATCCCCGAACTGTAAAGCTTATCTCTGAGTAGGTTTGTAGCTTTAAGTGCTACCTCAAATAATTCCAGCTTTTTTGAGGATCCTAGATAAGGTTTCTCATATACCTTCCTTATATATTATAGTTATTATTTGCACACGTGTTACTGTTATCTTTTTCTTTCTTGTATGTTCGTGCGGATTTATTAATAAACTGTAGAGGATGATTAATAACGTTGTATCATTTAGACATTTGACTGAATCCGCCTTCACTGACTGACGTTGCATTACATGACTTGAAGTCTGGATACCTACATGTTAGAATGTGTCGATGTCCTGTAGACAGTTGTATCCAAACCACCGACCTCTGTCCTTCGTTTCATCCTCCAATCTAACAAAGGTAATTCTCCTTGTAAGTCTTCTACCTAGTAAGTGAATTGGATTGTGCCTACGACTACTGACTGAGTTTAGGTGTGTGTGTGTGTGTGACAGGAAAGTGTCGATATATTCCAGTTTCAACACAGTAACCGCATTTTTTCTGAACTATCCATAAATATATATCTGCTAAGATTTGGGATATTGGTTATCCCATTGCTACATCTTCCGTTTGTTTGCATATTTTGTCCTGAAACTTGAAGATTGTGGAGATCAGTCACAAATGTAGGTTTGGGATAACTTCATTAATTGACATCTTCGTTCTATGAGTAAGTTTTGAGTTAATACTTCGTTGATTTCTAATTGCCTCCGATGATATTTTGATCGGTATTTTAGTATAAAGGCTTATTACATTGAAACTAACCACTTTATTCATCCTCTTCTATGTGTATAGGTCAATATACCTTAGTTTTAACTTGTAGGAATTAACTAGCCTAGATTTTGAAAGCTTCTACGGTAGGAATTTAGCCACCTACACTATACTCAACTCCAATATGTTTAGGTGGAGATAGGCAGATTGATTAAAGTGTCTTGATTCACCTAATCAACACCCACCCAACGCATGTAATAACAGTGAGTGGTGCAATACTTGTGTACGAAAGATATGAAGAACTTTCCTATCAAAGAATATCATCTAGGTGACAGGACTATATACATCACGCCCAACTCGTTGTTTCCCATTCTCGTTCCACTCGACGGCATCGCATGGCCTGACGCCTGATGTCTCCAAATGGTCTTGTCAGTTCATTTCCAATCTAATCCGTCCCCACTCTCTTCATCGGCATAGTTGTTGCACGATAGGTTCTTGCTTCGTTGGTTCGTTGCCTGCCAGCCAGCCACAGTTGTTCCTCCCTTACTCCTTCTCACCATCTGATCTCTATCTTCAGTATCGAGTGAGCGTAGGTGGCAGCTGTTGATGATGGATGTCTGCAGTTTGTTGGAAACGCTTCGCATAATGCACCAAGTGTCCCAACTATCACATAGAAGCAATCACTGACTTGACTAACGTTAGTGTTGAGAATCCGTATGTTGCTCACGCTTCAAGTTGAGTTGAGTGGAATGCAGTGGCAGTGCAGATCAGGCACAACTGTATGTCTGGTATGGAAAACTTTACTATCAAAGAATATCAGGTGGGTGACAGGACTATAAACATCATATATACAGAAAGTGGTGTGAGATTATACATTGAGGAGATAGTATGATGAGCAATAAGTAATTTCTACTCAAGATATCATTCAGTATATCCAGTAAATACTGTATGACTGATCGTGTGCTAGTCATATCAAAGGAACATATCTAATGAGGACTTCTAATCCCAATCGAAATCTAACTGAATTACACTGGAACATCATCATATTGATTATATTTTGGATATCATTATGACAGTCAACAATTTTCAAAGTACCTTTCAATGAATATTTACACACAAAAAGGACATTACAAATCGTGCTGAATACTTCGACTAACCATTCTACCAACTGATGTCTGTGGAGGGATTGAAACATTGAAAATATTAGTCATGTTACTGTTATGCTCCCCTTGGGCTCCTACTGAGACATAGGGCTTCAGTAGTAAGTCACCATTTCAATCTCTTCTCTGCAGACTTCTGCTTTAACATGGCTGCACGACTACCTATAAGCTTTCATTTCTTCATCACACGATCTCATCCATTTCACCGTCAGACGCCCAACTCGTCGTTTCCTATGCGGGTTCCACTAGACGGAGTCATCTGGCCTGACACCTGATGTCCCCACATGATCTCAGTTTATGTCCATCTCCACTTTCTTCGACTGCATATTTGTTGGGTGATAGGTTCTTGGTTGGTTCGTCACCAGCCAGCCAGAGTTCCTTGTTGCTTATTCTTATTATTCTGGCCATCTGAACTTCAGTAACGAGCGTAGGCGGCAGTTATTGATGAATGTCTGCAGTTTGTTGAAAATGCCTTTCGTAACGCACCAAGTCTCTCAACCACCACATAGAAGCATTGACTTTACGTTGATGTAGTGTAAATTTAAAGAACAAACAGTAAAACTTGAACATAGCAACTCATCACACACTTACCTCACGAGGTGATTGTGGAGCTAAATAAAGTTTATAGATTTTTTGAGATTCTTCACATAGATCAGTTGTTGGAAGGTGTTTATACAATTCACATATCATCCAAAACTCAATATTCTCTTCACTATATTCTGATTTCAAAAATTGATGGAATTGTGATAATCCATCTAGAAAAGAAAAATACAAGATGAAAGGATTACTTCAAGATTCCATTTGTTTCTACTCTGCTTGCCATAATGACAGTCGTTCGTGTTACACCACCAATTCTTACCGATATACTCCAACCAACCAGCATTAAGTCTACTTGTGATTGGTTGTTTTCCCCTTCATGGTCAGACTGATAATTTCGTTTTATATGGGCAGATGAATCAGACCACTTAAAAATACATAAAGGTAATGTTGTTCTGTTGGGCTGAATTCTATGACTCATTCATCGCGTGGTTAGATTCAATATCACAGACTGAGCAAGTTTATTTGGGACGAATCACATCGAAGGTCAGTATATAAAGACTGCATGACTGCATTGCACTCGCGTGACCAATCAGTACATGTAAGCCAGTCCTACAGGAGGTCAGTCGCTGCCCAAATAGCTCATTGGTAAAGCCGTTGACTACAACACTGGGTGACGCTGGTTTGAATCTCAAGCGGAACATCAGTTCCGTTGAGGTTGAAGATATGCCTTGCTTACGAGTGTCAAAAAGCACGAAAAGTAGGTTCAGGGCTTCCTGTTGATTGCCTCCAACCAACTAATATCTACTAATGTGTACCGTGAAGCTGAGCTTCCTAGCTTGGTTGCCACATTACAAATATGATCGATAGAATTCGATCTGTACTCAGAACTAAACAACATGAAATTGGTTACACTCTTGTGACCAATCAATAAATGTAAGCCAGTCGTACAGGAGGTCAATCACAGCCCGAATAGCTCAGTGGTAAAGTCGTTGACTACAACACTGGGTGACGGGGGTTGGAACCTCAGGCGGGATATCAGTTCCGTCGAGGTTGCATATACCCCTAGTTGACCAGTGTAAAAAACACGAAATCTAGGTACAGACCTTTCTGTCGATTGCCTGCAACCAACTAATATAGGCTCAATTGTTTAAGCCAATTACAATCAAGCAACGATGGTTCGTACTCCTTTTCTAATATTAAGTAATACATATTTCTACTGTAACAAAATACAAAAATCAAGAGAGACTTAACAGTATTTTGAAGTATGCTGTCATGACAAACATTGTCATGTCAACAGGGTTTCGTTTGGTTCATCACCTTGTTGGCACTTAGGCAGTATATGAACAGAACTTTTACAGCTAAAGATCAAGTATTCCAAGTATATAACTTTTACGCGTATACACCAGATGTTTTTACATATCTTCTGGTACGAAAACTGCCTAACAGCAAGTTTAACTCCCTTTGTACCCCCTACTCAGCTGTATTCCAGTTTCCAGTTCCACACTACCTAACCCTCCCTGTTGTTAACTACTACCGTTCGTTGATTGTGTTTCGGCAATAAAAATCAGTAAATAGTCGACCAGAGTCAATTAGGCTATCCAAGCGCACAAGCGTCGCTAGTTGAATATTAGTAGACCGCAATGAGATAAGAAATTTCGAGGAAATCTCAGCTAGTCATAGCTCTGCATGCAATCTCACGGAATTACACAGTGGGATGTAGGATAGACCAACAGCGTTGAAAACTAACTTAGTCGGGTGGAGGGGGGGAGACGCTGATAACCCAGTGAGTCTTTGTTTATCGAATCAACACTGAATACATGGGGCAATCGAAATGATTCTGCACCTGTCAGAGATATATATGGAGAATTCTACTACCCTCGTCATCAGAAAGAAGGAGAGAGAGAATTAGCAATAGTTGAACTGTGTATCGAAGTTGTGGAGTTTGTTACCTGATTGACATGAATATGGACAATAAAATGTGGCCGAAAAGTATGTTATCCGGTTAATGATACAGACGTAAATGGAACCATAGGTTTTCTAAGTTCCCTATGTTTTAGCATTTTTCAATTTGCCGATGGATAGAATCGATTTTACACAACAAGTAAATTGTTGCAACTTATCTCATTCAGCTGACAAAGTGGTAATCATTCCGTTAAGTACATATAGCTGGTAATCAACAGAAATGCCGCTCTGCTCACCCAAGGTTTCCTCCTTTCTTGCACTCATCAACACTCATTAGCATAAACTAGTGACCTACTAAATAATATTTTGGTATTTGAAGTGATGAATACATGCCTGAAGTCTGGGGAAAGGGTGACATCATTACTCAGTGGAGATGGAATCACATCAATCTAACAAGTTGTAAACATTCCAATCAGTTGTACATTCATGAGTTTGGAATGATCATCATCACCAGTGAGCATAAAACCAGGCATTACTGCGTAATGGTCCAGTTTGCCGCCACACCTAATATAAACGCATCAAGTACACAATGCATTGACGTAGAAGGTGAAGAAGGAGAGAAAACTCAGTGAAAAAAACATAAAGTACGAAAAGAGAGAGAAAGGGGAGAATGAGATTCGATATAGCGGAGGATAATGTGTGTGGAGAAATATGTGCACCACTGTTGCACCCGTGTGGAGTTACAGGCGCGGATATAATGATAGTGAGACTCAATAGACACCTCAACTGAATAGTTTTACGACTGACAACTACAAATTTCATTAGACAAAATACATGACATATGTATGTACAAAACTCTCAGAAAGTGAAGCCATAAATGAACCAATCCGATTTGTTTGTACGAGGTCGAATTTGTCCAATCAGGTTCTTATTTCAGTGCATGCATGAATCATGATCTGATCATGAACTGAAAACAACTCTTCTATTGGTTGCCTTTCGTGGCTACGTATCAACCACTAATATCGGTTCTAAGCCATACCACCAACTATGATCAGTTTCCAATCACTGTTGGTTTCTCTTGTACCACACACTCCAACCACCTAGTCTGCATCGCCCCACATGGCTCGAACCAACAGTCAGCCACTTCTTACATTAATGTGATGTTTTAGTCTGGTCGCCTCTTTCCGCCTATTTCCAACCTGAATCTACTTCAGTCAACATTATATGACGAGGAAGACGGTGACTAGGTATACGTAACACGTGTCCCAGCCAGCTATCTTAGTCGATGAAGGTTCATAACCGTGTCAACTATCTCACCTCTTCTCCCTCTCTTAAACTCTACATCTGACTTCTGCATTACTCATGTGGTGACACCACGGGATACAGCCTATACGCTACAAAGACAACGGTGGTCAAATACCTCAAACCTTCTGATGTCTTCCACCTTCAGGGTGAAGATATGAATGTCTGTGTGTCGTTTAGAAGGAATGACGATTTCTTAGAATTACCATAACATCATTTATGAATTCATTTACTCGTTAGTACAATGACTGATGCAAGTTCAGTTCATCAAGTGAATAAGAAATGCAAACATACTCTGCTGATGAATATTGACAACAACGAAAACTAGGTCCAGCATTATCCAACATAATTATGTCAACCGTTTTCCTAGCAGGCATGGAAATCAATTAAAACTGTTTATCATATAAACAACGTGCTAGGCCAGCCGTTGAGTGGAATCCAAAGGAGAAATGACGGGTTGAGCGTTCGAGGGTGAAATGGAGGAGATCATATGACGAAGAAATGAAAGCTTGTGGGTAGTCATCGAGCCAGGTCCAAAGGACTATAGAGAAGAGAGTGAAATGGTGACGAGCTACTGCAGACTGATGTTCCACCAGGAACCCAAAGGAGAAATAATAATAATATTATTATATAAACTGTGTCAGGGGTGATGAACATACCCAACCAACGCCACCAACAACAACAACAAGCTGCAGTCACTATCAACGGGAGAAACTTAAAGGAAGTAGCCTATTCCACCTAACCACCTAGGCAGCGTTGTTTCAACTACAGGTGGCGGCACAGACGAGAATGTCAAAGCCAGAATCGTAAAAGCAAGACAGGCTTTCATCAATCTGAAATCAGTATAAAGTGTGAACAAGATCCGGATTTTCAACATCAATATCAGTCAAGTCAGTGCTGCTGTATAATTCAGAAAGTTAGCGTGCCACGAAAATCACTTCCAACAAACTAGAGATATTCATCAACAACACTGCCGCCTACGCTCGATAGTCCAGATCATATCAGGTAGCCAGGAAGAATATGCAACAAGGATCTCTGGCTGGCTTTCAACGAACCAACCGAGAAACTATCGCTCAACAAATATGCAGAAGACAATGGAGATGGATTGAGCATGCACTGAGAAGACCATTCGGGAATCTCACGTGCCAGGCTAGTCACTCGAGTGGAACCCAGATGGGAAACGATGAGTTGGGCATCTGAGGCAACGGTGACATGGAGGAGAAGATGGTGTGAGCAAGAAATGAAAGCTTGTGGGCTGTCATGGAGCCATGTTAAAGTAGAAGATTACAGAGAACAGAGTGAACCCAAGGGACAAGTAATAATAATAATCATAATAATATATAAACAGTTGAATAAAACATTACCTGTATCAGCCAAAAGTTGATCAAAAGATTTTTCCCATTGATTAAGTTGACTTCTAGTTGGAATATTATGTTCTGGAAAATATTCATTACTTATTAATACATTAGTAGGACTTCGTTCTCTTGAATAATCATCCATTTCATGATTATCATATTGATTAAAAGGATTTATACATTTATCATTATCATGATCAAATGATGTTGACGGTGAATGACTCTTACATTTTCCCAATGGACGTTTAAATGCAGTTGAAAAAGATTTTGATAGAAAATTGGCTAATAAATCATTCAAATGACGAATACTTTGATGAAGAAAACAGTGAAAATAACAATAATAATAATAATAATGGTAATAGTAATATAAATAAAAAGGTATTTTCATGTTAAACAAAACATATATATGTGGGCCAACTCACGTTTACCTGATAGATAGGTAGACAAACAAACAGACAGACAAACAGACAGATAGACAGACAGGCAAACAGATAGGCAGACAGATAGATAAACAGACAGACGGAAGGATAAGCGGGCAGACAGATGGATAGATAGACAGGCAGGCAGATAGACAGACAGACAAAATCAGTATATCTCTTCAGGTTATATACAGTAGTAGATGTTTAGGAGAGAATATATGTCAACACCTTTGTGACTGATTTTCAGTCTTGTTACTAAGTGCCAGTTCTCAATCACTGATTCCTTTCGTCTCGTGGACTTTAATTAAACAGCCTATATCGCCCCATACGGCTCATATCAGCAGTCAGACTTCATCGACTGCTGTCATGTCTTAGTCTCATCACCCTAAACCCTTTTTCAACATATTCTGACTTCCTCTAGTATTGCTCTTCGACATAGGAGGTGGGTCTACATTCATGGGTCAAGTCTAAACTAATTCAGTACCCATCACCTTCGGCCAAACGTCAGTAATATTATGAAGATATATATATATAGGATCAAAATCCAGTCTTGTACTTTGAGCAGCCATATCTCATAGCTACACAACAGGATAGAACAGACTACACCGTAGTAGTCAGACATCTCACCAGTCTGTGTGAGAGATGATACAAGTTGTCAAATACCGAATGGGTCTTCTTTATCCAAGTTGAGACTTCGTCACGCAGCAGCCTCTTCGGATTGATGCATTTTTTCAAGTAAGCGAATTGGTCAAGACATTCCTGGGGTACCACGTTACACATCTGACAACTGGAAAACACAACTCAAACGTATTCAGACTATCGCTCAAGGTGTTCAGAAGACCCTGAATTTCCTCAGAGTTTTCATCTAGCAGGATAATGTTGTCAACTGAACAAAATTCAGGGAGTAAGTCAATCTCTAAGAAGTTAGACTTACCCAAGAGTATGTCCATTACTGCGTCCATAACGAAGTTGCATAGAAAAGGTAACAGTGACCATCCTTGGTTAAATGGTGCCACATTTGTGTTGTGTGATGACTTAGTAGTAATCTTACTTGACCAAATCCATATGCTTAGAATCACTGATATGAGTCTTCAAGACACGAATGATTCTTTAGTCGTCAAGATTCTCCCAAATACTCAGTGAATAGTGTAACGGAATCCAAATTTTTAATTTCACTAATCATTGTTATTCGAGCAATCCTCATCCCGAAGAGATTCACTACTGGGAATCTGTCGACATTATGGGTTCAGGAGTCAAGCCTCTTAGGGAAGTGCCTTTTCTGGAGGCTCAACTGCACTTAGGTCTACAAAGTTTTCAAGAACTCAGTGAGATAAGTCCTATAAACATTCTTCTCAACTTATCCAACTTTATCTAGAACAATGTGTCGTGGTAGACGGTCGATCGGCATGTGCAGTACATGTACAATCCATCTTGATCAACGATGGTTCACAACCTCATCATCTGTCGTCTGTTGTCGACACTCCTCGTACAGTGATTCCATCAAACGCGATCAACGCTACGAAAATATTTGCGACTGGAATCCTTTAACCACTTCGGCCAAGTCTCACATCGCAGTATATTTGGATATTTCGAGAGTCAATGCCACAGACAACACAAGTAAGCAAATGCCAAACGGTCTTTCTGTATCAAAGCCAAGACTCCGCTATTCGAAATGATGCAGTTTCTCAGGTAAGCGAAGTAGTTAAAGTATTCCGCCACTTCACTCTGTATCTCTAAACTAAGAGTAGTTACAAATGATTCCTGAAGCCTCATCTTACATTGCATTGGTGTCACGTCTTGTTCTGGCCATGATGAACTTTCTTTATAACAACTTCTCCATTTAGCATAGCACATCGAGGTAGTTGGCTACCGGTCAGCATGTGCAACACATATCCAAACCATCTCAGTCAGTACCCCTTAGGGGGTGACGTTTAATTACCGCACATCTTCATAGCAACCGTTCAAAATCATCGATGTTGGAAACACAAATATAGCGTAGGTCAGACACCAGAGCTTCAACAGAGTGACTCAAATGTTACTGCTATCCTTATTTCTTTCAACTTCAACTGCCTGAGCGAAATAAAACCAATCTGTCAAGTTATGCTTATCACAGTTAGTTTCATTAACAGAAAATCAAACAAACTGTGAGGAGTGAAAAGATGGGCATACGCTGTTTGACCGATGAAAACACACTGGAGAAGATATGCATTTCGTCCCGATGGTGATTCATGTATAATGTCTTCTTGCATAAAGTCGAAGATGCATAGGCGAAAACCAACAAGTTTGCAGAAGAGACAGCGAAGAAGCAGCGAAGGAAGAAGGGACTTCCTTCAGGTGAAATTAGAGATGACAGAGGTGATGAAGATAACCAACCAGCCAACAACAACAGCAAACACCAATCACCATCAATGGGCGAAACTTAAAGGAAGTAGCCTTTTCACCTTCCTACCTAGGCAGCATCGTTTCAACTGCAGACGGCGCAAGCACAGATGAGGATGTCAAAGCCAGTATCGGAAAATCAAGGAGAAGCAAGCTTTCATGAATCTAAAATCAGTGTGGAGATCTATTGCACCTCACTTAGCATAAAGCGTGAACAAGATGCAGATTTTCAACTCGAATGTCAGTCAAGTCTGTGGTTCTATGTGATGGTTGAGAGACTTGGTGGCGCGTTACGAAAAGCATTTCCAACAAACAGCTGCAGACGTACATCATCAACAGCTGCAGCCTACGTTCACTTGATGCTGAGGATCAGATCAGATATTCAAAGAGGGAACTCTAGGTGACTGGCAGCGAACAAATCGAAGAGCTATTGCCCAACAAATATGCAGTCGAAGAGAGTGGAGATGGATTGGATTGTACATAGACTAAGAAAACGGTTTGGGGATATCACGTGCTAAGTCAGGTCGTCAAGTGGGACTTAAACGCGAAACTATGAGTTAGGCTTCAGTGGGTGACAAGGAGGAGGAGATGGTGTGAGGGAGAAATGAACTCTTATGGGCAGTTGTGGAGGCAATTTAAAAAGGAAGATTACAGAGGAGAGAGTGAAATGATGACGTATCACTGAAGCTCTACATTCCACTAGGAAACTAAACGATGAAGTGCCGGTATACATGTGTACCAACTCACACACACGATCACAATCAAAAGTATGTAAATGCTCAGATGAAGAAGTGAATGATGTAAAAAGTGGAACAAAGATAAATTCCTTGAATGAATGAAAGGAAAAAGCAATAAAGATGAGGTGGAGATATGTTCATGGATTAGGGGGGTTGAAGACCACCAGCGGGTGATTAGAAGTACACCAATGAAAATAGGATAAATAATTCTGTAGTATGTTTGACTACAGATTTATATGATAACAATATAGATATATACTGGGTAATGATTGAAGGTGAAATGGGAATCTAGACAGCTCCCGGATTTGAACCAGCGACCACAGGGTTACTGGCCCGGTGCTCTACCAACTCAGCTACGAGGTGTCCAACTACTGCTAACCAGATCTATTTTATTTCATTTCGATCACCAAGATGGGTTTCGCCCAACTATCATGTGAATTCGTGACGCGTTACTACTCCCTGATCGTATTCCCACTGGCTGCCAACCAGTCAGGACTTCACATCTCAATCCAAGTTTGACTGAATCAGAGAGGTCGGGGGGGAAGCATCATAGTGATTATGATTTGACTATCTAAGATGATTTTCTTCTCACCTTCATTCATTACCCAGTACAAATACTAGTCCGCCAAACTACGCCTGCTATCTTAGATAGTCAAATCATAATCGACATATACGACTGAAATGAGTTTCCATTTACTAAGACTAACATCTTTACTGTCATAGATATATAGGTTGTTCATAAAAATTGACTTTGAGAAGAGTTTAAACAAAATCTTTTCACCTTGAAGTGTTAAACTCTAACCCAGTTTAATGTAGGTTTCGTCAAATTTTGGACTCATCAGCCAGCTTTTCAATGACATTCCTATTCGAAAGAGGTCGCTAAACCATGGAGTTATAATACACACTTCTTGTGTCATGAGTATAGTTTCAATGGTATTGCTTGTATCATCTCATCACGAATTGAATAGAACTGTTCAGTTTTTATTGACATATCAAAAATGAAATGGTGGGCACATGAACTAATAAGCCAATAGATACCAATCGAATTAGGCCCGTGCAGGTATGAAGTAATACAAGCAATGCTATATAGAACTCAGATGATATGAATATCATCATGATGATGATGAGGTTGAAGGAGAAATGCAGCTGCGTATATCGGTAACATTATGGATCGTCTTGTCCTTATGAAACTACCAAGACTAGTTAAGAAAGTAAGAAAGGAAATACATCGTAACGCGCCAAGTTTCTGAACCATCACATCGAAGCACTGATTTGACTGAATTAGACTTGAAAATCTGGATCTTGTTCACACTTTATGCTGAGTGCAGAAGATCTCCACACTGATTTCAGATTAATGAAAGGTGACCTGTCTTGCTTTTCCGATCCTGGCTAGCTTTGATGTCCTCGTCTGTGCTTGTGCCGCCTGTAGTTGAAACCATGCTGCCTAGATAGAAGAAAAAGGCTACTTCCTTCAAGTTTCTCCCGTTGATGGTGATTGGAGCTTGTTCTTGGTGGTGGTGGTGATGGTTGGGTATCTTCATCACCTCTGTCTTCTCTACGTTCACTTGAAGGGAGTCCCGTCTTCGCTGCCCTACCTCTTTTGTTCAACTTGCTGGATTTTGTCTGTAGATCTTAAAGTTTGTATGAGATTAGACGCAAGTCATCGGCGAAATCCAAATCTTCTAGGATCTTTTTCTCGTTCCACAATATTCCCCTCTTCTCGCTCCTCACAGTTTGTTGCATGATCCAATCGACCACAATCAGGAATATCAT